CGAAAACGTGTTAAAAGGTTGCCAGAAAGTAACGAAGTCGCCTTAGGAGTGCTACCAGAATTAAAAAACAGTCACGTGGAAGCGCCATTGAAATGAAAAAGGAATTTGAAATATGTATGTATTTAAAATAAAGTAAGTAAAAGTATACATACATAAAAATATTACTGTAATGAACTGTTAGTTATGAAAAAGAAAATGATACTCAAAAGAAGTGTTAGGTGTTAAACAAAAAATTATAGCAAAAAACTGTGTGATGAAACCTAAACAGGTATGTAACGAAAATTTAAATTAAAAAAAAATATGAACCGAAATGAATTATCCTAAAAAATATCCGATGGAATTCATTCATGTATGTTACGAAAATTTTAATTAAATAAAAAGAAATCTTACAGGGAAACTGGCGGCGCAGCGGTCGGATCGCTGAATATTGGTTTCATGAATTTGTAACATGCATAACAGACGTCCGTCCCTCATGCAGGTAGCCGCAGTATTACCTAAAAAAAAAAAAAAAAAAAAAAAATGAATTGCTTATTTAAGAACATCTTAATAAAGAAAGAAAGAAACAGAAACGGGATTAAGAAATTGTGAGGTCTTATTAATGGCTAGACACCCAATAAAATAAAATTAAATCTTTAATTAATCAAAATACGGACATGGAATAAATAACAGGAATCTCAGCGATGAGTAAACGCGTACAAGAACATGTAAAAACAGAAGGCGAAAAATTCTCTTTTGCAGAAGAAAATGTGTGTGTGTGTGTGGGGGGGGGGGGGGAAGTAGCCTCACAAAATAAGAGAAGTAAATAAAGATAAGATACGTGGAAGTACAGGAACAGAGGCATAGAAATTAATATTTATTCAGTGCAAAATCTAGTAAATAAATGAACCTAAACTGTTGAGGTCAGTTTTAATCAACAGTTCGTGATCATTCATGGAAAACTTTCTTAAACTGACGTTTGGTCTTCTTCACAGAGTATGGAATGTACAGGGGGAGGAAATGAAAGAGTGGTAGTAGAATGCAGTGTCCCTCTCTTTTTGAGTTAACTACTTCGATCTACATGTCATGTGGAAGTGAAAAGAAAATCGAATTGTTCACAGAATATCGAATGTACAGGGAGGAGGAGGAAATGAGTTTGACGCGCAGAACTGAACGACAATTCATTCAAAACACACAAGGAAACAAGTACGCAGGGTCGACAGAGGATGAGGAAATCATTAGAATTGACAATGGCATGGAAATGAATTCATAACAGGTTCGAAAAGAGTCAAAAAAAGGGCGTGAATTCGGTACCAAACGCCAGTAACGAAGCGCATTTCAATGCAGCTTTTATGTGCGTCACGCAGAAGTAAAGAATGAACACAGTGTCCCTTATCTGTTCAGGGTTTCTTTCAGATGCAAACAGAGTGGAAAAAGAAGTAAATGAATGCAGTTTCTTTCTGAGAAAAAAAGGAATGAAAATAAAGTCTGTTCAAGGAAATAAACTTTTAAATAATTAGTGGAAAATGCTTACACCACCTTTGAAAGTGGAATGAAAAGTTGAAATACTTTATCGGATATTGTTTTAATTAATTAACGGTGAGAGAAGCTATGAGAGTTACATCAAACTGTTAGCAAAGCTGAACTGTTGAAAGGAATTGTTAGAAAAGCAAATTCAACAAATGTAAATAGAGTTGAATAAATGTGAATGTTCTTTCGGAAACTGTAACGGGAGCACTCAGAAAGAGTTGTGCTTGCTATAATTTTTGAAATGGAATCGAAATTTTTATGAGAATAAAGTGTTGTAGAAGCAGTGTATCACAAAACTTTTTAGAAGAATTGCCATAACTTGTTTTTGGAATATAGTGATCGCATGCGGCGAGCCGCAGTGAGGTGATGGCGATCAGTCGGTTTAGGCAAAGTCCCCGGTTTGTGTGTTTGGCCCCCCCTCCTGGTGCGCGCCGAAGGCGCGCACATAGTCTCCCCGCAGGGGCCAAACACGCTAACCGGGGACTTAAAAATTGCATGCTTTCTTGTTTAACGCGAAACTTTTAAAGTTTTGAGTTCTTGTTTTTATAGTATAAATTTATGCATAATGATTGAACAGACTGGTTGCATGGGGTTTTCGTGGTTTCCCTCATGTGTCACGTAAATACGGACCAGTTTTTTTCAAGTCATTTTTGTATTTTATGTGAGAAGTCCTCCACGAAGGCATAAAATAAAGTTGAATGTAAATGAACACAAATAAATAAAACTGAAAACAAGCATGTTACAGGGAGGGAGACACAAATGCACAAATTCAATAAAAATATTTAAATAGGAATTTAACTGAATATACACACATCTATATAAACACATGCTACACACATTATAATTTTGAAATTAAAAGAACATAAATAAATAAAGTAGAAATATACATATAAAGAACATGTAACAGGGAGGGAAACACGTATGTAAAATGTAAGGCTACTTTCACAGCACATACTCGGGATTTCATAGCTGCACTTGCACTCATTCAATAAATATTTAAATAGAAATTAAATTGAATACACACACATCTATATGAACACATTAATTGTTAGAAGGAGTTACATTAATTGTTAGTATTATTGGAGTTAAATTAATTGTTAGTATTATTGGGTGTTACATTAATTGTTAGTATTATTGGAGTTACATTAATTGTTAGAAGGATCGTTAGAAGGACATTGTTAGAAGGAGGGAAACGCATATGTGATATGTAAGGCTACTATCACAGATTTTCGGGATTTCACACATGCAATAAATCAATAAATATTTCAATAGAAATTTAATCAAACACAAAAAACACATCTATATACATGCTCTCTCTCTCTCTCACTCACTCACTCACTCTATCTCTCTATCTATCTATCTATCTGTCTGTCTGTCTATCTATCTATCTATCTATCTAACTCTATCTACCTATCTATCTGTGTCTGTCTATCTATCTATCTATCTATCTATCTATCTATCTATCTGTCTCTCTCTCTCTATCTATCTATCTATCTATCTATTTTTATTCGAACTCTTGTGAAAACTACTGAATATGCATATGTTGTAATTTTCGCTCTCACAACTTTTCTTATCATAATATATACATATTTGTATGTATATCATGATCTAGTTGATCAAAAAACTGTAAGGAACATTTGGAGAATCCTATTCTAGAGATTACATGTTATGCAAAGTTCAATCTATGTTAAAACAACAAATTGCACTCGAAAAAAAAAAACCCTACATATTACAGAAGGACAACTGCACAGCAAACTCAAAATAGGTAGGCGAAAAAATCGTTGGACAGGTCCATTGAGACTGTAATTGGCTTTCCTAGTATGAAATGTAAGTAAAAGTTTGAAATTAATTATTTTTATTTATTATTAACGATGTCTCAAATGATCTGTCCCTTTTCCCAACATGGCCTGCGCGTCAGAAAACACAGAAGTGAACTTAAAAAGTTAGAAAACAGTATTTTAGATTATAAACAGTATTTTAAGGGACTATCCCGTAAGCGCAAAAAATAAAAACTTTATTCTATTGAAAAAAAAAAAAAAAAAATGAAGAGAGTGAGGGGTCCCGTAAAGACCAAAAAGCTGAGCATTCGTGATGAAAATGAATGAACAAAAGAGCCACATACCTGCGTCCTGACACGTTTGGTTTCCAAAATTAAATTGAGCGAAAACGTGTTAAAAGGTTGCCAGAAAGTAACGAAGTCGCCTTAGGAGTGCTACCAGAATTAAAAAACAGTCACGTGGAAGCGCCATTGAAATGATAAAGGAATTTGAAATATGTATGTATTTAAAATAAAGTAAGTAAAAATATACATACATAAAAGAACTGTTAGTTATGAAAAAGAAAATGATACTCAAAAGAAGTGTTAGGTGTTAAACAAAAATTATAAGCAAAAAACTGTGATGAAACCTAATCAGGTATGTAACGAAAATTTAAATTAAAAAAAAATATGAACCGAAATGAATTATCCTAAAAAATATCCGATGGAATTCATTCATGTATGTTACGAAAATTTTAATTAAATAAAAAGAAATCTTACAGGGAAACTGGCGGCGCAGCGGTCGGATCGCTGAATATTGGTTTCATGAATTTGTAACATGCATAACAGACGTCCGTCCCTCATGCAGGTAGCCGCAGTATTACCTAAACAAAAAAAAAAAAAAAAAAAAAATAAAAATGAATTGCTTATTTAAGAACATCTTAATAAAGAAAGAAAGAAACAGAAACGGGATTAAGAAATTGTGAGGTCTTATTAATGGCTAGACACCCAATAAAATAAAATTAAATCTTTAATTAATCAAAATAACAGGAATCTCAGCGATGAGTAAAACGCGTACAAGAACATGTAAAAACAGAAGGCGAAAAATTCTCTTTTGCAGAAGAAAATGTGTGTGTGTGTGGGGGGGGGAAGTAGCCTCACAAAATAAGAGAAGTAAATAAAGATAAGATACGTGGAAGTACAGGAACAGAGGCATAGAAATTAATATTTATTCAGTGCAAAATCTAGTAAATAAATGAACCTAAACTGTTGAGGTCAGTTTTAATCAACAGTTCGTGATCATTCATGGAAAACTTTCTTAAACTGACGTTTGGTCTTCTTCACAGAGTATGGAATGTACAGGGAGGGGAAATGAAAGAGTGGTAGAATGCAGTGTCCCTCTCTTTTTTAGTTAACTACTTCGATCTACATGTCATGTGGAAGTGAAAAGAAAATCGAATTGTTCACAGAATATCGAATGTACAGGGAGGAAATGAGTTTGACGCGCAGAACTGAACGACAATTCATTCAAAACACACAAGGAAACAAGTACGCAGGGTCGAGAGAGGATGAGGAAATCATTAGAATTGACAATGGCATGGAAATGAATTCATAACAGGTTCGAAAAGAGTCAAAAAAAGGGCGTGAATTCGGTACCAAACGCCAGTAACGAAGCGCATTTCAATGCAGCTTTTATGTGCGTCACGCTGAAAGTAAAGAATGAACACAGTGTCCCTTATATGTTCAGGGTTTCTTTCAGATGCAAACAGAGTGGAAAAAGAAGTAAATGAATGCAGTTTCTCTCTGAGAAAAAAAGGAATGAAAATAAAGTCTGTTCAAGGAAATAAACCTTTAAATAATTAGTGGAAAATGCTCACACCACCTTTGATGTGGAATGAAAAGTTGAAATATTTTATCGGATATTGTTTTAATTTAAGGGTGAGAGAGCTATGAGAGTTACATCAAACTGTTAGCAAAGCTGAACTGTTGAAAGGAATTGTTAGAAAAGCAAATTCAACAAATGTAAATCGAGTTGAATAAATGTGAATATTCTTTCGGAAACTGTAACGGGAGCACTCAGAAAGAGTTGTGCTTGCTATAATTTTTGAAATGGAATCGAAATTTTTATGAGAATAAAGTGTTGTAGAAGCAGTGTATCACAAAACTTTTTAGAAGAATTGCCATAACTTGTTTTTGGAATATAGTGATCGCATCGACCGCAGTGCGGCGAAGTGAGGTGATGGCGATCAGTCGGTTTAGGCAAAGTCCCCGGTTTGTGTGTTTGGCCCCCCTCCTGGTGCGCGCCGAAGGCGCGCACATAGTCTCCCCGCAGGGGCCAAACACGCTAACCGGGGACTTAAAAATTGCATGCTTTCTTGTTTAACGCGAAACTTTTAAAGTTTTGAGTTCTTGTTTTTATAGTATAAATTTATGCATAATGATTGAACAGACTGGTTGCATGGGGTTTTCGTGGTTTCCCTCATGTGTCACGTAAATACGGACCAGTTTTTTCAAGTCATTTTTGTATTTTATGTGAGAAGTCCTCCACGAAGGCATAAAATAAAGTTGAATGTAAATGAACACAAATAAATAAAACTGAAAACAAGCATGTTACAGGGAGGGAGACACAAATGCACAAATTCAATAAATATTTAAATAGGAATTTAACTGAATATACACACATCTATATAAACACATGCTACACACATTATAATTTTGAAATTAAAAGAACATAAATAAAGTAGAAATATACATATAAAGAACATGTAACAGGGAGGGAAACACGTATGTAAAATGTAAGGCTACTTTCACAGCACATACTCGGGATTTCATAGCTGCACTTGCACTCATTCAATAAATATTTAAATAGAAATTAAATTGAATACACACACACATCTATATGAACACATTAATTGTTAGAAGGAGTTACATTAATTGTTAGTATTATTGGAGTTAAAATTAATTGTTAGTATTATTGGTGTTACATTAATTGTTAGTATTATTGGAGTTACATTAATTGTTAGAAGGATCGTTAGAAGGACATTGTTAGAAGGAGGGAAACGCATATGTGATATGTAAGGCTACTATCACAGATTTTCGGCATTTAAAACATGCAATAAATCAATAAATATTTCAATAGAAATTTAATCAAACACAAAAAACACATCTATATACATGCTCTCTCTCTCTCTCTCTCTCTCTCTCACTCACTCACTCTCTCTCTCTATCTATCTATCTGTCTGTCTGTCTGTCTGTCTATCTATCTATCTATCTAACTCTATCTACCTATCTATCTGTGTCTGTCTATCTATCTATCTATCTATCTATCTGTCTGTCTCTCTCTCTCTATCTATCTATCTATCTATCTATTTTTATTCGAACTCGTGAAAACTACTGAATATGCATATGTTGTAATTTTCGCTCTCACAACTTTTCTTATCATAATATATACATATTTGTATGTATATATCATGATCTAGTTGATCAAAAAACTGCAAGGAACATTTGGAGAATCCTATTCTAGAGATTACATGTTATGCAAAGTTCAATCTATGTTAAAACAACAAACTGCACTCGAAAAAAAAAAACCCTACATATTACAGAAGGACAACTGCACAGCAAACTCAAAATAGGTAGGCGAAAAAATCGTTGGACAGGTCCATTGAGACTGTAATTGGCTTTCCTAGTATGAAATGTAAGTAAAAGTTTGAAATTAATTATTTTTATTTATTATTAACGATGTCTCAAATGATCTGTCCCTTTTCCCAACATGGCCTGCGCGTCAGAAAACACAGAAGTGAACTTAAAAAAATTAGAAAACAGTATTTTAGATTATAAACAGTATTTTAAGGGACTAGCCCGTAAGCGCAAAAAATAAAAACTTTATTCTATTGAAAAAAAAAAAAAAAAATGAAGAGAATGAGGGGTCCCGTAAAGACCAAAAAGCTGAGTATTCGTGATGAAAATGAATGAACAAAAGAGCCACATACCTGCGTCCTTACACGTTTGGTTTCCAAAATTAAACTGAGCGAAAACGTGTTAAAAGGTTGCCAGAAAGTAACGAAGTCGCCTTAGGAGTGCTACCAGAATTAAAAAACAGTGACGTGGATGCGCCATTGAAATGAAAAAGGAATTTGAAATATGTATGTATTTAAAATAAAGTAAGTAAGTAAAAAAAATATACATACATAAAATGAACTGTTAGTTATGAAAAAGAAAATGATACTCAAAAGAAGTGTTAGGTGTTTAAACAAAAATTATAAGCAAAAAACTGTGATGAAACCTAATCAGGTATGTAACGAAAATTTAAATTAAAAAAAAATATGAACCGAAATGAATTATCCTAAAAAATATCCGATGGAATTCATTCATGTATGTTACGAAAATTTTAATTAAATAAAAAGAAATCTTACAGGGAAACTGGCGGCGCAGCGGTCGGATCGCTGAATATTGGTTTCATGAATTTGTAACATGCATAACAGACGTCCGTCCCTCATGCAGGTAGCCGCAGTATTACCTAAACAAAAAAAAAAAAAAAAAAAAAAAAAAAAAAATGAATTGCTTATTTAAGAACATCTTAATAAAGAAAGAAAGAAACAGAAACGGGATTAAGAAATTGTGAGGTCTTATTAATGGCTAGACACCCAATAAAATAAAATTAAATCTTTAATTAATCAAAATACGGACATGAGTAAAACGCGTACAAGAACATGTAAAAACAGAAGGCGAAAAATTCTCTTTTGCAGAAGAAAATGTGTGTGTGTGTGGGGGGGGGGGGGAAGTAGCCTCACAAAATAAGAGAAGTAAATAAAGATAAGATACGTGGAAGTACAGGAACAGAGGCATAGAAATTAATATTTATTCAGTGCAAAATCTAGTAAATAAATGAACCTAAACTGTTGAGGTCAGTTTTAATCAACAGTTCGTGATCATTCATGGAAAACTTTCTTAAACTGACGTTTGGTCTTCTTCACAGAGTATGGAATGTACAGGGAGGAAATGAAAGAGTGGTAGAATGCAGTGTCCCTCTCTTTTTGAGTTAACTACTTCGATCTACACATGTCATGTGGAAGTGAAAAGAAAATCGAATTGTTCACAGAATATCGAATGTACAGGGAGGAGGAAATGAGTTTGACGCGCAGAACTGAACGACAATTCATTCAAAACACACAAGGAAACAAGTACGCAGGGTCGAGAGAGGATGAGGAAATCATTAGAATTGACAATGGCATGGAAATGAATTCATAACAGGTTCGAAAAGAGTCAAAAAAAGGGCGTGAATTCGGTACCAAACGCCAGTAACGAAGCGCATTTCAATGCAGCTTTTATGTGCGTCACGCTGAAAGTAAAGAATGAACACAGTGTCCCTTATATGTTCAGGGTTTCTTTCAGATGCAAACAGAGTGGAAAAAGAAGTAAATGAATGCAGTTTCTCTCTGAGAAAAAAAGGAATGAAAATAAAGTCTGTTCAAGGAAATAAACCTTTAAATAATTAGTGGAAAATGCTCACACCACCTTTGAATGTGGAATGAAAAGTTGAAATATTTTATCGGATATTGTTTTAATTTAAGGGTGAGAGAGCTATGAGAGTTACATCAAACTGTTAGCAAAGCTGAACTGTTGAAAGGAATTGTTAGAAAAGCAAATTCAACAAATGTAAATCGAGTTGAATAAATGTGAATATTCTTTCGGAAACTGTAACGGGAGCACTCAGAAAGAGTTGTGCTTGCTATAATTTTTGAAATGGAATCGAAATTTTTATGAGAATAAAGTGTTGTAGAAGCAGTGTATCACAAAACTTTTTAGAAGAATTGCCATAACTTGTTTTTGGAATATAGTGATCGCATCGACCGCAGTGAGGTGATGGCGATCAGTCGGTTTAGGCAAAGTCCCCGGTTTGTGTGTTTGGCCCCCCCCTCCTGGTGCGCGCCGAAGGCGCGCACATAGTCTCCCCGCAGGGGCCAAACACGCTAACCGGGACTTAAAAATTGCATGCTTTCTTGTTTAACGCGAAACTTTTAAAGTTTTGAGTTCTTGTTTTTATAGTATAAATTTATGCATAATGATTGAACAGACTGGTTGCATGGGGTTTTCGTGGTTTCCCTCATGTGTCACGTAAATACGGACCAGTTTTTTCAAGTCATTTTTGTATTTTATGTGAGAAGTCCTCCACGAAGGCATAAAATAAAGTTGAATGTAAATGAACACAAATAAATAAAACTGAAAACAAGCATGTTACAGGGAGGGAGACACAAATGCACAAATTCAATAAATATTTAAATAGGAATTTAACTGAATATACACACATCTATATAAACACATGCTACACACATTATAATTTTGAAATTAAAAGAACATAAATAAAGTAGAAATATACATATAAAGAACATGTAACAGGGAGGGAAACACGTATGTAAAATGTAAGGCTACTTTCACAGCACATACTCGGGATTTCATAGCTGCACTTGCACTCATTCAATAAATATTTAAATAGAAATTAAATTGAATACACACACATCTATATGAACACATTAATTGTTAGAAGGAGTTACATTAATTGTTAGTATTATTGGAGTTAAATTAATTGTTAGTATTATTGGTGTTACATTAATTGTTAGTATTATTGGAGTTACATTAATTGTTAGAAGGATCGTTAGAAGGACATTGTTAGAAGGAGGGAAACGCATATGTGATATGTAAGGCTACTATCACAGATTTTCGGCATTTAAAACATGCAATAAATCAATAAATATTTCAATAGAAATTTAATCAAACACAAAAAACACATCTATATACATGCTCTCTCTCTCTCTCACTCACTCACTCACTCTCTCTCTCTCTATCTATCTATCTGTCTGTCTGTCTATCTATCTATCTATCTAACTCTATCTACCTATCTATCTGTGTCTGTCTGTCTATCTATCTATCTATCTATCTATCTATCTATCTGTCTGTCTCTCTCTCTCTATCTATCTATCTATCTATTTTTATTCGAACTCGTGAAAACTACTGAATATGCATATGTTGTAATTTTCGCTCTCACAACTTTTCTTATCATAATATATACATATTTGTATGTATATATCATGATCTAGTTGATCAAAAAACTGCAAGGAACATTTGGAGAATCCTATTCTAGAGATTACATGTTATGCAAAGTTCAATCTATGTTAAAACAACAAACTGCACTCGAAAAAAAAAAACCCTACATATTACAGAAGGACAACTGCACAGCAAACTCAAAATAGGTAGGCGAAAAAATCGTTGGACAGGTCCATTGAGACTGTAATTGGCTTTCCTAGTATGAAATGTAAGTAAAAGTTTGAAATTAATTATTTTTATTTATTATTAACGATGTCTCAAATGATCTGTCCCTTTTCCCAACATGGCCTGCGCGTCAGAAAACACAGAAGTGAACTTAAAAAGTTAGAAAACAGTATTTTAGATTATAAACAGTATTTTAAGGGACTAGCCCGTAAGCGCAAAAAATAAAAACTTTATTCTATTGAAAAAAAAAAAAAAAAAATGAAGAGAATGAGGGGTCCCGTAAAGACCAAAAAGCTGAGTATTCGTGATGAAAATGAATGAACAAAAGAGCCACATACCTGCGTCCTTACACGTTTGGTTTCCAAAATTAAACTGAGCGAAAACGTGTTAAAAGGTTGCCAGAAAGTAACGAAGTCGCCTTAGGAGTGCTACCAGAATTAAAAAACAGTGACGTGGATGCGCCATTGAAATGAAAAAGGAATTTGAAATATGTATGTATTTAAAATAAAGTAAGTAAAAATATACATACATAAAAGAACTGTTAGTTATGAAAAAGAAAATGATACTCAAAAGAAGTGTTAGGTGTTAAACAAAAATTATAAGCAAAAAACTGTGATGAAACCTAATCAGGTATGTAACGAAAATTTAAATTAAAAAAAAATATGAACCGAAATGAATTATCCTAAAAAATATCCGATGGAATTCATTCATGTATGTTACGAAAATTTTAATTAAATAAAAAGAAATCTTACAGGGAAACTGGCGGCGCAGCGGTCGGATCGCTGAATATTGGTTTCATGAATTTGTAACATGCATAACAGACGTCCGTCCCTCATGCAGGTAGCCGCAGTATTACCTAAACAAAAAAAAAAAAAAAAATAAAAATGAATTGCTTATTTAAGAACATCTTAATAAAGAAAGAAAGAAACAGAAACGGGATTAAGAAATTGTGAGGTCTTATTAATGGCTAGACACCCAATAAAATAAAATTAAATCTTTAATTAATCAAAATACGGACATGAGTAAAACGCGTACAAGAACATGTAAAAACAGAAGGCGAAAAATTCTCTTTTGCAGAAGAAAATGTGTGTGTGGGGGGGGGGGAAGTAGCCTCACAAAATAAGAGAAGTAAATAAAGATAAGATACGTGGAAGTACAGGAACAGAGGCATAGAAATTAATATTTATTCAGTGCAAAATCTAGTAAATAAATGAACCTAAACTGTTGAGGTCAGTTTTAATCAACAGTTCGTGATCATTCATGGAAAACTTTCTTAAACTGACGTTTGGTCTTCTTCACAGAGTATGGAATGTACAGGGAGGAAATGAAAGAGTGGTAGAATGCAGTGTCCCTCTCTTTTTTAGTTAACTACTTCGATCTACACGTCATGTGGAAGTGAAAAGAAAATCGAATTGTTGACAGAATATCGAATGTACAGGGAGGAAATGAGTTTGACGCGCAGAACTGAACGACAATTCATTCAAAACACACAAGGAAACAAGTACGCAGGGTCGACAGAGGATGAGGAAATCATTAGAATTGACAATGGCATGGAAATGAATTCATAACAGGTTCGAAAAGAGTCAAAAAAAGGGCGTGAATTCGGTACCAAACGCCAGTAACGAAGCGCATTTCAATGCAGCTTTTATGTGCGTCACGCAGAAAGTAAAGAATGAACACAGTGTCCCTTATATGTTCAGGGTTTCTTTCAGATGCAAACAGAGTGGAAAAAGAAGTAAATGAATGCAGTTTCTCTCTGAGAAAAAAAGGAATGAAAATAAAGTCTGTTCAAGGAAATAAACTTTTAAATAATTAGTGGAAAATGCTCACACCACCTTTGAATGTGGAATGAAAAGTTGAAATATTTTATCGGATATTGTTTTAATTTAAGGGTGAGAAAGCTATGAGAGTTACATCAAACTGTTAGCAAAGCTGAACTGTTGAAAGGAATTGTTAGAAAAGCAAATTCAACAAATGTAAATCGAGTTGAATAAATGTGAATATTCTTTCGGAAACTGTAACGGGAGCACTCAGAAAGAGTTGTGCTTGCTATAATTTTTGAAATGGAATCGAAATTTTTATGAGAATAAAGTGTTGTAGAAGCAGTGTATCACAAAACTTTTTAGAAGAATTGCCATAACTTGTTTTTGGAATATAGTGATCGCATCGACCGCAGTGAGGTGATGGCGATCAGTCGGTTTAGGCAAAGTCCCCGGTTTGTGTGTTTGGCCCCCCCTCCTGGTGCGCGCCGAAGGCGCGCACATAGTCTCCCCGCAGGGGCCAAACACGCTAACCGGGGACTTAAAAATTGCATGCTTTCTTGTTTAACGCGAAACTTTTAAAGTTTTGAGTTCTTGTTTTTATAGTATAAATTTATGCATAATGATTGAACAGACTGGTTGCATGGGGTTTTCGTGGTTTCCCTCATGTGTCACGTAAATACGGACCAGTTTTTTCAAGTCATTTTTGTATTTTATGTGAGAAGTCCTCCACGAAGGCATAAAATAAAGTTGAATGTAAATGAACACAAATAAATAAAACTGAAAACAAGCATGTTACAGGGAGGGAGACACAAATGCACAAATTCAATAAATATTTAAATAGGAATTTAACTGAATATACACACATCTATATAAACACATGCTACACACATTATAATTTTGAAATTAAAAGAACATAAATAAAGTAGAAATATACATATAAAGAACATGTAACAGGGAGGGAAACACGTATGTAAAATGTAAGGCTACTTTCACAGCACATACTCGGGATTTCATAGCTGCACTTGCACTCATTCAATAAATATTTAAATAGAAATTAAATTGAATACACACACATCTATATGAACACATTAATTGTTAGAAGGAGTTACATTAATTGTTAGTATTATTGGAGTTAAATTAATTGTTAGTATTATTGGTGTTACATTAATTGTTAGTATTATTGGAGTTACATTAATTGTTAGAAGGATGTTAGAAGGACATTGTTAGAAGGAGGGAAACGCATATGTGATATGTAAGGCTACTATCACAGATTTTCGGGATTTCACACATGCAATAAATCAATAAATATTTCAATAGAAATTTAATCAACACAAAAAAACACATCTATATACATGCTCTCTCTCTCTATCTCTCTCTCTCTCACTCACTCTCTCTCTCTCTCTCTCTATCTATCTGTCTGTCTGTCTGTCTGTCTATCTATCTATCTATCTAACTCTATCTACCTATCTATCTGTGTCTGTCTATCTATCTATCTATCTATCTATCTGTCTGTCTCTCTCTCTCTATCTATCTATCTATCTATCTATTTTTATTCGAACTTCGTGAAAACTACTGAATATGCATATGTTGTAATTTTCGCTCTCACAACTTTTCTTATCATAATATATACATATTTGTATGTATATATTATGATCTAGTTGATCAAAAAACTGTAAGGAACATTTGGAGAATCCTATTCTAGAGATTACATGTTATGCAAAGTTCAATCTATGTTAAAACAACAAATTGCACTCGAAAAAAAAAAACCCTACATATTACAGAAGGACAACTGCACAGCAAACTCAAAATAGGTAGGCGAAAAAATCGTTGGACAGGTCCATTGAGACTGTAATTGGCTTTCCTAGTATGAAATGTAAGTAAAAGTTTGAAATTAATTATTTTTATTTATTATTAACGATGTCTCAAATGATCTGTCCCTTTTCCCAACATGGCCTGCGCGTCAGAAAACACAGAAGTGAACTTAAAAAGTTAGAAAACAGTATTTTAGATTATAAACAGTATTTTAAGGGACTAGCCCGTAAGCGCAAAAAATAAAAACTTTATTCTATTGAAAAAAAAAAAAAAAAATGAAGAGAATGAGGGGTCCCGTAAAGACCAAAAAGCTGAGCATTCGTGATGAAAATGAATGAACAAAAGAGCCACATACCTGCGTCCTTACACGTTTGGTTTCCAAAATTAAATTGAGCGAAAACGTGTTAAAAGGTTGCCAGAAAGTAACGAAGTCGCCTTAGGAGTGCTACCAGAATTAAAAAACAGTCACGTGGAAGCGCCATTGAAATGAAAAAGGAATTTGAAATATGTATGTATTTAAAATAAAGTAAGTAAAAATATACATAAAAATATTACTGTAATGAACTGTTAGTTATGAAAAAGAAAATGATACTCAAAAGAAGTGTTAGGTGTTAAACAAAAATTATAAGCAAAAAACTGTGATGAAACCTAATCAGGTATGTAACGAAAATTTAAATTAAAAAAAAAATATGAACCGAAATGAATTATCCTAAAAAATATCCGATGGAATTCATTCATGTATGTTACGAAAATTTTAATTAAATAAAAAGAAATCTTACAGGGAAACTGGCGGCGCAGCGGTCGGATCGCTGAATATTGGTTTCATGAATTTGTAACATGCATAACAGACGTCCGTCCCTCATGCAGGTAGCCGCAGTATTACCTAAACGAAAAAACAAAAAAAAAAAAAAAAAAAAAAAATGAATTGCTTATTTAAGAACATCTTAATAAAGAAAGAAAGAAACAGAAACGGGATTAAGAAATTGTGAGGTCTTATTAATGGCTAGACACCCAATAAAATAAAATGAAATCTTTAATTAATCAAAAATACGGACAGGAATCTCAGCGATGAGTAAAACGCGTACAAGAACATGTAAAAACAGAAGGCGAAAAATTCTCTTTTGCAGAAGAAAATGTGTGTGTGTGTGTGGGGGGGGGGAAGTAGCCTCACAAAATAAGAGAAGTAAATAAAGATAAGATACGTGGAAGTACAGGAACAGAGGCATAGAAATTAATATTTATTCAGTGCAAAATCTAGTAGTAAATAAATGAACCTAAACTGTTGAGGTCAGTTTTAATCAACAGTTCGTGATCATTCATGGAAAACTTTCTTAAACTGACGTTTGGTCTTCTTCACAGAGTATGGAATGTACAGGGAGGAAATGAAAGAGTGGTAGAATGCAGTGTCCCTCTCTTTTTGAGTTAACTACTTCGATCTACATGTCATGTGGAAGTGAAAAGAAAATCGAATTGTTCACAGAATATCGAATGTACAGGGAGGAGGGAGGAAATGAGTTTGACGCGCAGAACTGAACGACAATTCATTCAAAAACACACAAGGAAACAAGTACGCAGGGTCGACAGAGGATGAGGAAATCATTAGAATTGACAATGGCATGGAAATGAATTCATAACAGGTTCGAAAAGAGTCAAAAAAAGGGCGTGAATTCGGTACCAAACGCCAGTAACGAAGCGCATTTCAATGCAGCTTTTATGTGCGTCACGCAGAAGTAAAGAATGAACACAGTGTCCCTTATCTGTTCAGGGTTTCTTTCAGATGCAAACAGAGTGGAAAAAGAAGTAAATGAATGCAGTTTCTTTCTGAGAAAAAAAAGGAATGAAAATAAAGTCTGTTCAAGGAAATAAACTTTTAAATAATTAGTGGAAAATGCTTACACCACCTTTGAAAGTGGAATGAAAAGTTGAAATACTTTATCGGATATTGTTCTAATTTTCAACGGTGAGAAAGCTATGAGAGTTACATCAAACTGTTAGCAAAGCTGAACTGAACTGTTGAAAGGAATTGTTAGAAAAGCAAATTCAACAAATGTAAATAGAGTTGAATAAATGTGAATGTTCTTTCGGAAACTGTAACGGGAGCACTCAGAAAGAGTTGTGCTTGCTATAATTTTTGAAATGGAATCGAAATTTTTATGAGAATAAAGAGTTGTAGAAGCAGTGTATCACAAAACTTTTTAGAAGAATTGCCATAACTTGTTTTTGGAATATAGTGATCGCATGCGGCGAAGCCGCAGTGAGGTGATGGCGATCAGTCGGTTTAGGCAAAGTCCCCGGTTTGTGTGTTTGGCCCCCCTCCTGGTGCGCGCCGAAGGCGCGCACATAGTCTCCCCGCAGGGGCCAAACACGCTAACCGTGACTTAAAAAATTGCATGCTTTCTTGTTTAACGCGAAACTTTTAAAGTTTTGAGTTCTTGTTTTTATAGTATAAATTTATGCATAATGATTGAACAGACTGGTTGCATGGGGTTTTCGTGGTTTCCCTCATGTGTCACGTAAATACGGACCAGTTTTTTCAAGTCATTTTTGTATTTTATGTGAGAAGAAGTCCTCCACGAAGGCATAAAATAAAGTTGAATGTAAATGAACACAAATAAATAAAACTGAAAACAAGCATGTTACAGGGAGGGAGACACAAATGCACAAATTCAATAAATATTTAAATAGGAATTTAACTGAATATACACACATCTATATAAACACATGCTACACACATTATAATTTTGAAATTAAAAGAACATAAATAAAGTAGAAATATACATATAAAGAACATGTAACAGGGAGGGAAACACGTATGTAAAATGTAAGGCTACTTTCACAGCACATACTCGGGATTTCATAGCTGCACTTGCACTCATTCAATAAATATTTAAATAGAAATTAAATTGAATACACACACATCTATATGAACACATTAATTGTTAGAAGGAGTTACATTAATTGTTAGTATTATTGGAGTTAAATTAATTGTTAGTATTATTGGTGTTACATTAATTGTTAGTATTATTGGAGTTACATTAATTGTTAATTGTTAGAAGGACATTGTTAGAAGGAGGGAAACGCATATGTGATATGTAAGGCTACTATCACAGATTTTCGGGATTTCACACATGCAATAAATCAATAAATATTTCAATAGAAATTTAATCAAACACAAAAAAACACATCTATATACATGCTCTCTCTCTCTCTCACTCACTCACTCATCTCTCTCTCTCTCTATCTATCTATCTGTCTGTCTGTCTATCTATCTATCTATCTAACTCTAATCTACTCTATCTATCTGTCTGTCTGTCTGTCTATCTATCTATCTATCTATCTATCTATCTATACTGTCTGTCTCTCTATCTCTCTATCTATCTATCTATTTTTATTCGAACTTGTGAAAACTACTGAATATGCATATGTTGTAATTTTCGCTCTCACAACTTTTCTTATCATAATATATACATATTTGTATGTATATATTATGATCTAGTTGATCAAAAAACTGTAAGGAACATTTGGAGAATCCTATTCTAGAGATTACATGTTATGCAAAGTTCAATCTATGTTAAAACAACAAATTGCACTCGAAAAAAAAAAACCCTACATATTACAGAAGGACAACTGCACAGCAAACTCAAAATAGGTAGGCGAAAAAATCGTTGGACAGGTCCATTGAGACTGTAATTGGCTTTCCCAGTATGAAATGTAAGTAAAAGTTTGAAATTAATTATTTTTATTTATTATTAACGATGTCTCAAATGATCTGTCCCTTTTCCCAACATGGCCTGCGCGTCAGAAAACACAGAAGTGAACTTAAAAAGTTAGAAAACAGTATTTTAGATTATAAACAGTATTTTAAGGGACTAGCCCGTAAGCGCAAAAAATAAAAACTGTATTCTATTTAAAAAAAAAAAAAAAAAAAATGAAGAGAATGAGGGGTCCCGTAAAGACCAAAAAGCTGAGCATTCGTGATGAAAATGAATGAACAAAAGAGCCACATACCTGCGTCCTTACACGTTTGGTTTCCAAAATTAAATTGAGCGAAAACGTGTTAAAAGGTTGCCAGAAAGTAACGAAGTCGCCTTAGGAGTGCTACCAGAATTAAAAAACAGTCACGTGGAAGCGCCATTGAAATGAAAAAGGAATTTGAAATATGTATGTATTTAAAATAAAGTAAGTAAAAATATACATACATAAAAGAACTGTTAGTTATGAAAAAGAAAATGATACTCAAAAGAAGTGTTAGGTGTTAAACAAAAATTATAAGCAAAAAACTGTGATGAAACCTAATCAGGTATGTAACGAAAATTTAAATTAAAAAAAAATATGAACCGAAATGAATTATCCTAAAAAATATCCGATGGAATTCATTCATGTATGTTACGAAAATTTTAATTAAATAAAAAGAAATCTTACAGGGAAACTGGCGGCGCAGCGGTCGGATCGCTGAATATTGGTTTCATGAATTTGTAACATGCATAACAGACGTCCGTCCCTCATGCAGGTAGCCGCAGTATTACCTAAACAAAAAAAAAAAAAAAAAAAATGAATTGCTTATTTAAGAACATCTTAATAAAGAAAGAAAGAAACAGAAACGGGATTAAGAAATTGTGAGGTCTTATTAATGGCTAGACACCCAATAAAATAAAATGAAATCTTTAATTAATCAAAATACGGAATAAATAACAGGAAATCTCAGCGATGAGTAAAACGCGTACAAGAACATGTAAAAACAGAAGGCGAAAAATTCTCTTTTGCAGAAAGAAAATGTGTGTGTGTGGGGGGGGGGGAAGTAGCCTCACAAAATAAGAGAAGTAAATAAAGATAAGATACGTGGAAGTACAGGAACAGAGGCATAGAAATTAATATTTATTCAGTGCAAAATCTAGTAAATAAATGAACCTAAACTGTTGAGGTCAGTTTTAATCAACAGTTCGTGATCATTCATGGAAAACTTTCTTAAACTGACGTTTGGTCTTCTTCACAGAGTATGGAATGTACAGGGAGGAAATGAAAGAGTGGTAGAATGCAGTGTCCCTCTCTTTTTTAGTTAACTACTTCGATCTACATGTCATGTGGAAGTGAAAAGAAAATCGAATTGTTCACAGAATATCGAATGTACAGGGAGGGAGGAAATGAGTTTGACGCGCAGAACTGAACGACAATTCATTCAAAACACACAAGGAAACAAGTACGCAGGGTCGACAGAGGATGAGGAAATCATTAGAATTGACAATGGCATGGAAATGAATTCATAACAGGTTCGAAAAGAGTCAAAAAAAGGGCGTGAATTCGGTACCAAACGCCAGTAACGAAGCGCATTTCAATGCAGCTTTTATGTGCGTCACGCAGAAGTAAAGAATGAACACAGTGTCCCTTATCTGTTCAGGGTTTCTTTCAGATGCAAACAGAGTGGAAAAAGAAGTAAATGAATGCAGTTTCTTTCTGAGAAAAAAAAGGAATGAAAATAAAGTCTGTTCAAGGAAATAAACTTTTAAATAATTAGTGGAAAATGCTTACACCACCTTTGAAAGTGGAATGAAAAGTTGAAATACTTTATCGGATATTGTTCTAATTCAACGGTGAGAAAGCTATGAGAGTTACATCAAACTGTTAGCAAAGCTGAACTGTTGAAAGGAATTGTTAGAAAAGCAAATTCAACAAATGTAAATAGAGTTGAATAAATGTGAATGTTCTTTCGGAAACTGTAACGGGAGCACTCAGAAAGAGTTGTGCTTGCTATAATTTTTGAAATGGAATCGAAATTTTTATGAGAATAAAGTGTTGTAAAGAGTTGTAGAAGCAGTGTATCACAAAACTTTTTAGAAGAATTGCCATAACTTGTTTTTTGGAATATAGTGATCGCATCGACCGCAGTGAGGTGATGGCGATCAGTCGGTTTAGGCAAAGTCCCCGGTTTGTGTGTTTGGCCCCCCTCCTGGTGCGCGCCGAAGGCGCGCACATAGTCTCCCCGCAGGGGCCAAACACGCTAACCGGTGACTTAAAAAATTGCATGCTTTCTTGTTTAACGCGAAACTTTTAAAGTTTTGAGTTCTTGTTTTTATAGTATAAATTTATGCATAATGATTGAACAGACTGGTTGCATGGGGTTTTCGTGGTTTCCCTCATGTGTCACGTAAATACGGACCAGTTTTTTCAAGTCATTTTTGTATTTTATGTGAGAAGACCTCCACGAAGGCATAAAATAAAGTTGAATGTAAATGAACACAAATAAATAAAACTGAAAACAAAGCATGTTACAGGGAGGGAGACACAAATGCACAAATTCAATAAATATTTAAATAGGAATTTAACTGAATATACACACATCTATATAAACACATGCTACACACATTATAATTTTGAAATTAAAAGAACATAAATAAAGTAGAAATATACATATAAAGAACATGCAACAGGGAGGGAAACACGTATGTAAAATGTAAGGCTACTTTCACAGCACATACTCGGGATTTCATAGCTGCACTTGCACTCATTCAATAAATATTTAAATAGAAATTAAATTGAATACACACACATCTATATGAACACATTAATTGTTAGAAGGAGTTACATTAATTGTTAGTATTATTGGAGTTAAATTAATTGTTAGTATTATTGGAGTTACATTAATTGTTAGTATTATTGGAGTTACATTAATTGTTAGAAGGATGTTAGAAGGACATTGTTAGAGGAGGAGGGAAACGCATATGTGATATGTAAGGCTACTATCACAGATTTTCGGGATTTCACACATGCAATAAATCAATAAATATTTCAATAGAAATTTAATCAAACACAAAAAACACATCTATATACATGCTCTCTCTCTCTCTCACTCACTCACTATCTCTCTATCTCTATCTATCTATCTATCTGTCTGTCTGTCTATCTATCTATCTATCTCTATCTCTATCTATCTGTGTCTATCTATCTATCTATCTATCTCTATATGTCTGTCTCTCTCTCTATCTATCTATCTATCTATTTTTATTCGAACTTCGTGAAAACTACTGAATATGCATATGTTGTAATTTTCGCTCTCACAACTTTTCTTATCATAATATATACATATTTGTATGTATATATTATGATCTAGTTGATCAAAAAACTGTAAGGAACATTTGGAGAATCCTATTCTAGAGATTACATGTTATGCAAAGTTCAATCTATGTTAAAACAACAAACTGCACTCGAAAAAAAAAAACCCTACATATTACAGAAGGACAACTGCACAGCAAACTCAAAATAGGTAGGCGAAAAAATCGTTGGACAGGTCCATTGAGACTGTAATTGGCTTTCCAGTATGAAATGTAAGTAAAAGTTTGAAATTAATTATTTTTATTTATTATTAACGATGTCTCAAATGATCTGTCCCTTTTCCCAACATGGCCTGCGCGTCAGAAAACACAGAAGTGAACTTAAAAAGTTAGAAAACAGTATTTTAGATTATAAACAGTATTTTAAGGGACTAGCCCGTAAGCGCAAAAAATAAAAACTTTATTCTATTAAAAAAAAAAAAAAAATGAAGAGAATGAGGGGTCCCGTAAAGACCAAAAAGCTGAGCATTCGTGATGAAAATGAATGAACAAAAGAGCCACATACCTGCGTCCTTACACGTTTGGTTTCCAAAATTAAATTGAGCGAAAACGTGTTAAAAGGTTGCCAGAAAGTAACGAAGTCGCCTTAGGAGTGCTACCAGAATTAAAAAACAGTCACGTGGAAGCGCCATTGAAATGAAAAAGGAATTTGAAATATGTATGTATTTAAAATAAAGTAAGTAAAAATATACATACATAAAAATATTACTGTAATGAACTGTTAGTTATGAAAAAGAAAATGATACTCAAAAGAAGTGTTAGGTGTTAAACAAAAATTATAAGCAAAAAACTGTGATGAAACCTAATCAGGTATGTAACGAAAATTTAAATTAAAAAAAAAAATATGAACCGAAATGAATTATCCTAAAAAATATCCGATGGAATTCATTCATGTATGTTACGAAAATTTTAATTAAATAAAAAGAAATCTTACAGGGAAACTGGCGGCGCAGCGGTCGGATCGCTGAATATTGGTTTCATGAATTTGTAACATGCATAACAGACGTCCGTCCCTCATGCAGGTAGCCGCAGTATTACCTAAACAAAAAAAAAAACAAAAAAAAAATAAAAATGAATTGCTTATTTAAGAACATCTTAATAAAGAAAGAAAGAAACAGAAACGGGATTAAGAAATTGTGAGGTCTTATTAATGGCTAGACACCCAATAAAATAAAATTAAATCTTTAATTAATCAAAATACGGACATGAGTAAAACGCGTACAAGAACATGTAAAAACAGAAGGCGAAAAATTCTCTTTTGCAGAAGAAAATGTGTGTGTGTGTGGGGGGGGGAAGTAGCCTCACAAAATAAGAGAAGTAAATAAAGATAAGATACGTGGAAGTACAGGAACAGAGGCATAGAAATTAATATTTATTCAGTGCAAAATCTAGTAAATAAATGAACCTAAACTGTTGAGGTCAGTTTTAATCAACAGTTCGTGATCATTCATGGAAAACTTTCTTAAACTGACGTTTGGTCTTCTTCACAGAGTATGGAATGTACAGGGAGGAAATGAAAGAGTGGTAGAATGCAGTGTCCCTCTCTTTTTTAGTTAACTACTTCGATCTACACGTCATGTGGAAGTGAAAAGAAAATCGAATTGTTGACAGAATATCGAATGTACAGGGAGGAAATGAGTTTGACGCGCAGAACTGAACGACAATTCATTCAAAACACACAAGGAAACAAGTACGCAGGGTCGAGAGAGGATGAGGAAATCATTAGAATTGACAATGGCATGGAAATGAATTCATAACAGGTTCGAAAAGAGTCAAAAAAAGGGCGTGAATTCGGTACCAAACGCCAGTAACGAAGCGCATTTCAATGCAGCTTTTATGTGCGTCACGCAGAAGTAAAGAATGAACACAGTGTCCCTTATCTGTTCAGGGTTTCTTTCAGATGCAAACAGAGTGGAAAAAGAAGTAAATGAATGCAGTTTCTTTCTGAGAAAAAAAGGAATGAAAATAAAGTCTGTTCAAGGAAATAAACTTTTAAATAATTAGTGGAAAATGCTTACACCACCTTTGAAAGTGGAATGAAAAGTTGAAATACTTTATCGGATATTGTTCTAATTCAACGGTGAGAAAGCTATGAGAGTTACATCAAACTGTTAGCAAAGCTGAACTGTTGAAAGGAATTGTTAGAAAAGCAAATTCAACAAATGTAAATAGAGTTGAATAAATGTGAATGTTCTTTCGGAAACTGTAACGGGAGCACTCAGAAAGAGTTGTGCTTGCTATAATTTTTGAAATGGAATCGAAATTTTTATGAGAATAAAGAGTTGTAGAAGCAGTGTATCACAAAACTTTTTAGAAGAATTGCCATAACTTGTTTTTGGAATATAGTGATCGCATGCGGCGAAGCCGCAGTGAGGTGATGGCGATCAGTCGGTTTAGGCAAAGTCCCCGGTTTGTGTGTTTGGCCCCCCCTCCTGGTGCGCGCCGAAGGCGCGCACATAGTCTCCCCGCAGGGGCCAAACACGCTAACCGGTGTTAAAAATTGCATGCTTTCTTGTTTAACGCGAAACTTTTAAAGTTTTGAGTTCTTGTTTTTATAGTATAAATTTATGCATAATGATTGAACAGACTGGTTGCATGGGGTTTTCGTGGTTTCCCTCATGTGTCACGTAAATACGGACCAGTTTTTTCAAGTCATTTTTGTATTTTATGTGAGAAGACCTCCACGAAGGCATAAAATAAAGTTGAATGTAAATGAACACAAATAAATAAAACTGAAAACAAAGCATGTTACAGGGAGGGAGACACAAATGCACAAATTCAATAAATATTTAAATAGGAATTTAACTGAATATACACACATCTATATAAACACATGCTACACACATTATAATTTTGAAATTAAAAGAACATAAATAAAGTAGAAATATACATATAAAGAACATGCAACAGGGAGGGAAACACGTATGTAAAATGTAAGGCTACTTTCACAGCACATACTCGGGATTTCATAGCTGCACTTGCACTCATTCAATAAATATTTAAATAGAAATTAAATTGAATACACACACATCTATATGAACACATTAATTGTTAGAAGGAGTTACATTAATTGTTAGTATTATTGGAGTTAAATTAATTGTTAGTATTATTGGTGTTACATTAATTGTTAGTATTATTGGAGTTACATTAATTGTTAGAAGGATGTTAGAAGGACATTGTTAGAAGGAGGGAAACGCATATGTGATATGTAAGGCTACTATCACAGATTTTCGGGATTTCACACATGCAATAAATCAATAAATATTTCAATAGAAATTTAATCAAACACAAAAAAACACATCTATATACATGCTCTCTCTCTCTCTCACTCACTCAATCACTCTCTCTCTCTATCTATCTATCTGTCTGTCTGTCTATCTATCTATCTAACTCTATCTACCTATCTATCTGTCTGTCTGTCTATCTATCTATCTATCTATCTATATCTGTCTGTCTCTTCTCTCTCTATCTATCTATCTATTTTTATTCGAACTGTGAAAACTACTGAATATATGTTGTAATTTTCGCTCTCACAACTTTTCTTATCATAATATATACATATTTGTATGTATATATTATGATCTAGTTGATCAAAAAACTGTAAGGAACATTTGGAGAATCCTATTCTAGAGATTACATGTTATGCAAAGTTCAATCTATGTTAAAACAACAAATTGCACTCGAAAAAAAAAAAACCCTACATATTACAGAAGGACAACTGCACAGCAAACTCAAAATAGGTAGGCGAAAAAAAAATCGTTGGACAGGTCCATTGAGACTGTAATTGGCTTTCCAGTATGAAATGTAAGTAAAAGTTTGAAATTAATTATTTTATTTATTATTAACGATGTCTCAAATGATCTGTCCCTTTTCCCAACATGGCCTGCGCGTCAGAAAACACAGAAGTGAACTTAAAAAGTTAGAAAACAGTATTTTAGATTATAAACAGTATTTTAAGGGACTAGCCCGTAAGCGCAAAAAATAAAAACTTTATTCTATTTAAAAAAAAAAAAAAAAATGAAGAGAATGAGGGGTCCCGTAAAGACCAAAAAGCTGAGCATTCGTGATGAAAATGAATGAACAAAAGAGCCACATACCTGCGTCCTTACACGTTTGGTTTCCAAAATTAAATTGAGCGAAAACGTGTTAAAAGGTTGCCAGAAAGTAACGAAGTCGCCTTAGGAGTGCTACCAGAATTAAAAAACAGTCACGTGGAAGCGCCATTGAAATGAAAAAGGAATTTGAAATATGTATGTATTTAAAATAAAGTAAGTAAAATATACATACATAACTGTAATGAACTGTTAGTTATGAAAAAGAAAATGATACTCAAAAGAAGTGTTAGGTGTTTAAACAAAAATTATAAGCAAAAAACTGTGATGAAACCTAATCAGGTATGTAACGAAAATTTAAATTAAAAAAAAATATGAACCGAAATGAATTATCCTAAAAAATATCCGATGGAATTCATTCATGTATGTTACGAAAATTTTAATTAAATAAAAAGAAATCTTACAGGGAAACTGGCGGCGCAGCGGTCGGATCGCTGAATATTGGTTTCATGAATTTGTAACATGCATAACAGACGTCCGTCCCTCATGCAGGTAGCCGCAGTATTACCTAAACGAAAAAAAAAAAAAAAAAAAAAAATGAATTGCTTATTTAAGAACATCTTAATAAAGAAAGAAAGAAACAGAAACGGGATTAAGAAATTGTGAGGTCTTATTAATGGCTAGACACCCAATAAAATAAAATGAAATCTTTAATAATCAAAATACGGACAAAATAACAGGAATCTCAGCGATGAGTAAAACGCGTACAAGAACATGTAAAAACAGAAGGCGAAAAATTCTCTTTTGCAGAAGAAAATGTGTGTGTGTGTGGGGGGGGGGAAGTAGCCTCACAAAATAAGAGAAGTAAATAAAGATAAGATACGTGGAAGTACAGGAACAGAGGCATAGAAATTAATATTTATTCAGTGCAAAATCTAGTAAATAAATGAACCTAAACTGTTGAGGTCAGTTTTAATCAACAGTTCGTGATCATTCATGGAAAACTTTCTTAAACTGACGTTTGGTCTTCTTCACAGAGTATGGAATGTACAGGGAGGAAATGAAAGAGTGGTAGAATGCAGTGTCCCTCTCTTTTTTTAGTTAACTACTTCGATCTACATGTCATGTGGAAGTGAAAAGAAAATCGAATTGTTCACAGAATATCGAATGTACAGGGAGGAAATGAGTTTGACGCGCAGAACTGAACGACAATTCATTCAAAACACACAAGGAAACAAGTACGCAGGGTCGACAGAGGATGAGGAAATCATTAGAATTGACAATGGCATGGAAATGAATTCATAACAGGTTCGAAAAGAGTCAAAAAAAGGGCGTGAATTCGGTACCAAACGCCAGTAACGAAGCGCATTTCAATGCAGCTTTTATGTGCGTCACGCAGAAGTAAAGAATGAACACAGTGTCCCTTATCTGTTCAGGGTTTCTTTCAGATGCAAACAGAGTGGAAAAAGAAGTAAATGAATGCAGTTTCTTTCTGAGAAAAAAAGGAATGAAAATAAAGTCTGTTCAAGGAAATAAACTTTTAAATAATTAGTGGAAAATGCTTACACCACCTTTGAAAGTGGAATGAAAAGTTGAAATACTTTATCGGATATTGTTCTAATTCAACGGTGAGAAAGCTATGAGAGTTACATCAAACTGTTAGCAAAGCTGAACTGTTGAAAGGAATTGTTAGAAAAGCAAATTCAACAAATGTAAATAGAGTTGAATAAATGTGAATGTTCTTTCGGAAACTGTAACGGGAGCACTCAGAAAGAGTTGTGCTTGCTATAATTTTTGAAATGGAATCGAAATTTTTATGAGAATAAAGAGTTGTAGAAGCAGTGTATCACACAAAACTTTTTAGAAGAATTGCCATAACTTGTTTTTGGAATATAGTGATCGCATCGACCGCAGTGAGGTGATGGCGATCAGTCGGTTTAGGCAAAGTCCCCGGTTTGTGTGTTTGGCCCCCCTCCTGGTGCGCGCCGAAGGCGCGCACATAGTCTCCCCGCAGGGGCCAAACACGCTAACGGTAACATGCTGCTTTCTCCATGGAAATATTCTTAAAATGCAAACGAGCGAGGGGGACAATTTTATGAGGCATTAGTGCAGCCAGCATGCAAGTTAGACTGTCCCAACATGCTACCATAAAACAGTTCTAGTGTGACTGGTTTTCATAAAAATCACTTCGCTCGCATACTTATGAACAGATTTTATTAAGATTAAATTCCAGTTATTCTTTCATTAAATTATAATTTCATATATTTTGAAAAATACAATTTCCTCAAAAATTTACTGTTAAGTTTAATTAAACATTTTTTAAGTGTTTTGAAAACGACATTCTCACAAAAGCTTAATCATGATAGCATGTTTTATAGTGGACATATGAATATCAATGAAAAAAAGAATAAAAGTACTTACTTGTATATAAACATACGTCCTTTTAACCCTTAAATGCATCGCCTGTGTACTCTTTTTAAGCGAAATGTGATCATTATAATTAATTTCGATAATAGTTCAATAAAGAATTTGTGTTCTTACATTTTGTGTAAAGTCAAATTCAATTTAATCATTACCCAAATCACGCCTCATCAAAAATTACTCAAATATTGAGAAATCTTTTACTGTATGCATATGATTTTGATTTTATTAATAACACAAAACCCATTAGTTCACTTTTACGTAAATTTCATAACAATCATATACTTCATCATAATAAAAAATAATAAATGTTCCTGCTTCACAGTGGTATTACTCTTTACGGCATTATTAGTATTTACATATTTAATAACGGTTATTTCTTAAAAATCAATTTTTGCTCTTTAGTTCATTCTCTTTATTGCGAAAATAATCAAAACATAATCAAAATGCAAAAGCTGAGCTTTAGTGAATAAACTTTGTTAGATTAAAACAATTACATCCTTAACAATTTTATCTTAAAACAATTTTTTGGTACTTTATTATTTTGCATGGATCTGCATTTAAAGGTTAAAAGAGAAATCAGTGTAGACATAAGTTTTTTTTCAAAAAAAAGTTTATTAAACATATTCAACAGCACCCTTTACTTTCTCCGTCCTCAGTTTCAGATCGAATTCCTTGTCAATATGACATCTACAAAAGAGAAGGAATGACAACAACAATACTGATTATAAATGTTACCTAAAACAAAAACAAAAAACAAAAAACACAAAAAAAAAATTCTTTGGGCAAATTTCACAAAACATAAACGAAGTTTTCGAATTCTGGAAAACTATTGAAAAAAAAAAAAAAAAAAAAAAATATTTACAGTACCAAACAAGTCGCGGTCATTTTTTTTATTAATCACGTCTTTTCCCTACTGCGTAAAAAATGAAAGAAAAACCAAAGCAAATTTAGGGTTTGCCAGAACAGAGGAAGAATCTGTCAAATTCTTTCAAGCGAAAGGCGTTTTTTGCCTAAAATTGCTATTTCTAATAATAATTATGAAATTGTATTTTGGAGACGAAATGCAGTACCGCTGTAAGCTTTTAATTTGTCGCAGTAAAAGAAGTATCCAGAAAGGTCATTTGAGTCATCGAAACTGAGTTTCTTGAAGCGTGCGAGGTTTATTTATGGCTGAAGCAAAGGATTAACTTTCGTTAATTGGTGGTGTGAAAATCAGTCACGGAACAGTTGTGGACTGGAATAACTACATGCGCGAGGTTTTCTGCATTCTTTGCTTCTTAAACGTCAAAGGAAAACGGGATGATTTGGCATGATACTGGAAGTGGATGAAAGTGTATTCACGAAGCGCAGAAACAATGACAGACGGATTCTACAACAGTGGATCGATCTTTGGTGGAGCTTGCCGTGAAACAAACCAATGTTTCCTTGTGAAGCTGCTAAACCGAGCCATGAGTATTATATTATATTAGAAGCAGTTAAAGAAAATATCGGAAAAGAAACTATAATATATTCAGATTCATGACAATCACACGTTGCACTTAAGAACTGAAAGAGGAAAGTTTCGAACATTTTAAAGTGAATTATAAATACAATTTTGTCAATACGGAAACTAGAACGCACACACAAAAAATAGAAAGATAGAAGTAGCGCAAAATGGCGAAATAAGAAACACAGAGGAACGGCATGTCAGCATCTGAATGAAGCTGCTAAACCGAGCCATGAGTATTATATTAGAAGCAGTTAAAGAAAGAAAATATCGGAAAAGAAACTATAATATATTCAGATTCATGACAATCACACGTTGCACTTAAGAACTGAAAGAGGAAAGTTTCGAACATTTTAAAGTAAATTATAAATACAATTTTGTCAATACGGAAACTAGAACGCACACACAAAAAATAGAAAGATAGAAGTAGCGCAAAATGGCGAAATAAGAAACACAGAGGAACGGCATGTCAGCATCTGAATAGCTATCTAGCGGAATTTATACGGAGATGAGAAAGAAAGGAGGACCCATTTGGGGGGAAAAGAAATTGAAACGATATTAAAATGTTTATACATCTAAAGTAAAAAATTCTTAGAACTAATATTTGTTAACATTTTTTCATGTGGATTGTGTGTGTTGTTGCCAATTAAGCTGCGTGGAGACATTTGGGGCGGCGAAATGGAAAAGGACATTTTAAACATTTTCCAATATTTAATTGTTTATTTTCATATTTAAATCATTTGAAAATTGCTAACGACACACACATCAAAATTTAACTAAGCGCATGCACTCTCTAATAAATAAAATTGGTAACATCCTTAATTATAAAAGAATTTCATTATAAAAATATTTTAAGAAATAATAATAGTTTTCTGATCTTGGCAACACTTTAAATATTAAAACGAAATTAAAATTTCCTCACTATTTACATTTTAATAGAAGAAAGCATGGACTCTTGATTTTCTAGATTTCAGTTTTACAAGCTTATTACTTTTGTTTTACTTCTCTAAATTTCAAATATTTTATAATGTGTTCCGTTGATACTTGACACAAATTCAGAATTAGATATGAAGTATTCAACTGAATTACTCGACAATCCTGAACATCTATCTCATCATTATCCAAAAGGAGGTCATCGAATCCTATTACAAAAAAAGATTTAAATTCTTAAAATTTAAAAGAGGTGACAAGAACACAATTTCATTAAAGTTCCAAAATTCATTTAAAATAAGAACTATTCTGATAAATCAGGCCAAGTCACACATAGTATCCTTCTCCAGAAACTTATAAAAAGACTACTGCCGAAAAAAAAAAAAAAAAAAAAAAAAAAAAAAACAGGGACCACCTATTCAATCTCCTCAATGTCATAAAGAAAAAAATCAATATTCAAAATGAGCTCAAATTATTCCTAATTATCATTTAAATGAAACTCAAAACTGTTCAATTTCATCAAGATCATCTGCATATGGGATCAAACTGCCATACACATTTAACTCGAATTAACACTCAACCATATAATTATCCATCTGTTAACGATTAAAAAAATAAAAAAAATCACCAACACTCATCATTCTTCGAAAAGAAAATATGACTGAAACACTTTTAGATGATTTGGATCACTATATGTACCATTAAACAACTTGAAACAGAAAATTAAAAAAATAATCAAACTTAAAAGAGGACACCTGGTTGTCACCTGCGAATCTTAATGCTTTACAATTTGCAAAGGAAGAAAATGTCAGTATCATCTTTGCACAAGAACCATATATTCCCT